TGAAAACTTTTCCTCTGTGCCAGACCCTGTCTCAGCAAGCACACACTGCTCCAGGTTGGTTCTCCCATGTGGTGAAATGTACCCTCATGTTCCTTGGGCACAGATCATCTAATTTGAACTCACAGCTCTGTAGAGACATCCACACTTGAGCTAATCACCCTCCTCTCTCTGGCAGTCAATGGAGAGGGACCATCAGTTTTGAGGCATGCACTATATAATCTGTTTTAGATGTTGCTTTAAAATGAGAGGAACGACCTCCCGGTTCCCTTGGCTAGACAGACCAACTTTCCACCATCTGTTCTATCCACGTCTACTCAGACAGACCTCTATCTTTACTTACTTCTTGAACTGCTCCTTCAAGTAGTAGTTTGTTCATTATCACGTGCTTGGACATCCCACTAGAGACATCACTAAGTGGAAGTATTGCAGCATGGAACCATTGCTGTAACAACAGGACGTTAATCAAAGGCATTCACAGCATAGTGAAGCCCAACAAGGGCTGTGTGCCGAGTCAGGGTTGGATCTTTTTGGTGCACATAAGGGGAATGAAAAATGGAGATCAACATTACAAACAACACCCTGAGGAGTAGGTTGGGTTTCTTACTGGCAGGGAGTCAATACTTTCGCAGAATACACCCAAAACGTTATTGTGATTTGTTTAACCACTGCTCACAAGGAAAAGCCATTGCCTCTGGGCTTCTGTGGGATAAGAGGAGTCTGGGGTTTTTCCTCCATAGGTAACCAAACTGCAAAGATACTGCTAGTCCCAGCTGTTATCATATGAGGCTATTTTTCCTTGTGAAAAATCAACATAAATCTTGAATAAGATGAGGAGTACATGGGTTTGTCTTAGCTTTTGGGACAAAGTAAATCTCCTTTATTTAGGGCATTTTGTCATGTGATGTCTAATGCTCTCCTCCTACCCATTGCCAATGTACACAGAAATAGCAAATGTGTGGGGTTCATCACAATACCAGTTTTCTGCAGACACGGACCCTAAAAGTCTTTTCAGCCAACCGGCTCCTGTTTTATTTAAACACCTGTTTCCATATTCTAGGGTGTTTCTATTCTTTAGTAGGCAACCCTGGCCTAAAACTGCCTGCCTCTCCTGGCTGAGTTTACCACATGACACTCAGGGTCGTTTAGCTTACTTTGACTCTGGCAAAACACAGAGCTGGCTGAAAAGTACCTGATTCAAGGAGCCTGGAGAAGTAAGAGCTTTTATTTAATCCTCAAGCAGGTATCATGAGTAAAGACTTAGTTACTAATGGCTAGGAGAGTGTCCTCTACCTAAAGCCCCTCCAAGTGCCTTCTGCCCTGGAGGGTCCACCCCTGCTCCCAGGACTCATGTGAACTTTGCTTTCCTATTTATTTTTTAATCCAAAGGATGAGAATAGAAGATATCCACTGGATATGTGGCTTTGGGATGATGCAAATAGAAATAATCTGAGTCCACTCCCTCATTCCGGGAGATAGTCCTCAGGTGATGTCAGGTTGGTCCATAGTGAAAGCAGTGACCTACTCTAGGAAGGCTCTGGATGCCCAGTCCCACAGTTATTGGTTCTTGTAGGAAGTATTCCTCTAACTAAACAAGAATATGCTTCAGAGAGTGAACTTCAGTTTCCCCCCAAAGTTTAAAGATACGCCAAAATGCAGAAGTCTGCTTCAAGTTTACTACAGTGCTTCATCTGTTAGCAGTGACCGGTCTATAACCTGGAGATGTTCCCCAAAATACAAGTTAAGCCCTTTTCCTTCTCCTCCACTGGCAGTTTACCTCCAAATCCCTTTCTGCCTGCCTGACATGGAGCCAGGGGATGCCTCACCTGTGTGGACTTCAAGCATAGCTGGCTGAGATTGAGCAGGGAAGACCATTAATTTTACAGGATGTCTCTTTTGCCTTAGATCTTACAAGGCAAGTAAAAAGTGTGTGTGATATTCATGAACATGATTATTTGTACTGCCTAGAGCCAGGAAAAATGAATATTAAAAGAGCAGATATCGAAAGAGTGATACATTCATAATCATGAATTTTAATGTCATAAGGGACCATTCTGGTCTGATCTCTTGTGGATGTAGGCCCCTTAAACTTCATCCTGTTACCTCTGCCTTGAGCCTGCTAACTTGCATTTGCCTGAGCCATATCTTCCAAAGAAGCCTCAAGACTGGATTCAAAGCTACCAAGGGATAGAAACTCCACTGCTTCCCTTGGCACCAGTTTCAATGATGCATCACCCCCTCTTTAAAATGTGGGCTTTGTTTCCCATTTGAGTTTCCTTGGTGTATGGGTCCTAGCTATTAGTTCTGATGATGACTTTCTGTTAGATCAAAGAGCCCTTTAGCATCAGCAGCTTCTGCCTGAAACAATATTTGTACACTGTTGTCAACTTCTCAGTCTTTTTTTGTGGGGTAGTGTTACAATAATTAGATTCAGGCTTCCTACTCTCCTCCCGTAAGGCATTTCCTCCAGCCATCAGACCCTTGCTGGGAGATATATTCTGCACCATCTTTTTCTGATATCCTTATACCAAACCCAGAGGTGTGCACGATATTCCCATTGCTTACCACTGATGCACAAAGAGGAATTCCTGTTTGGTTTTATGTCAAATGATAGCAGTAGCTCTTCTGAGTAATTGCTTTCTAGGACACAACATCCCATTGTCAGGCATATTCTGCATCCCTTATATAATTATATATTTTATTCTAATGAAATACAGTCTATTTGGAAATACATTGGATCTAATACTGACCCCTATAGATGCCCATTAGGAATATCTCCTTCAACATCAGTGTCCCTCAGATGGCTCCTTTCAGAGACCTGCCAGCTAGGCTTCTGCTAAACTATTTAAATGTATGTACTACTGGCACTACATATCTTCATATGATGGAACCCTGTGAAAGTCAAGCCTTATCAAGATCTAATTACGTTATGTTACAAGCATGCAGGCAGCTGTATCAGATAAACTTAGCATCATGCCAACTAAGAAAATCAAGTTGGGAAGCACCTGTTTTATATACAAGTGCCTCAACTAAGATTAATATTACACCTATTCCTCAGTGCTTAATGAATTGAAGTCTGTATCATATTTTCCATTATTTTGTCTAGAATTTTATGTCAGTCAAACTAGTGTGTATTTATGAGGATCATCATTGTATATCTTGGCTAACTACTGGCACAGTGCTTCGGTATTCGGGAGCTGCCCCAGTGCTCCAGTGCAGATTATAAATGAACGTCAGTGGGCCAGAAATTTACTCAGCCAGCTCTTTAAGGACTCTGGGGTACAGCTGTTTAGCCAAGCTGATTTCAGATTGTTTATCCATAGCAGATGGTGTTTCCAATTCTCCTTGCTTACTGATGAGCAGAAGGCACTTCACTGCCCCCCACAGCTCATCCTATGGGCACGGCCCCCTGCCATCATCTAGGTACTGCCTGCCAAACACTTTGACCTCTTCTGCAGCATGGCACTTGACTTGGTACTGGCCATCAGTAAAAGGAAATGGTGAAGTCAACTGTCACGCTGCAGAAGAGGTTCATAATACATTGTTTATGCAGATATCATTGCTAATGGGAGAGACACCCAAACAGACACACAACTCCATGGTTTCCCTCTGAGGTTGGCACTTACTGAAATTTTATTCCCAGGCCCAGCAGAAATTGAGATATGTCCATTTGATCTTGTTCAGCCCTACAGCTGCAAATTCAAACCTCCACGCTTCTCTGACAATGTGTTCCAGCCCTGTTTTGTCCCATTTTCTGCCAGTATAGGTGTCTCTATTTACTAAAGGTTTCACAAAGATAAGATTTTGTGATGTGTCAGGTTGAAATGAATGAGTGCATAGAGGTCAATTTTTTCATAAGTGAAAGGCTAATGCTGGACTGTACAGGATGAGGTTTATTTTTTGCCTTTCCTTGTGCCAGTGAGGTTATTTAATGGACTTTTCTGCAAGGTCAGTAGGTGTATACTCAGAATGCTCCCTGTCAGCTGAAGTCAGCTTGGATCTTTCTAGATCACAGGAGTTAAACAGCCAATATTTCAACAGGTGACCTCAAAGGAAACAACAGTGATTCAGTAGGTGTGGCCCTTCCTTCTGAGTCAGTGCTGAAATGTGACACCAAACGATGCTGTGTTGCCAGAGAACTTGGTTTTTATTTGAAATATTGAGTATTTGTGGCTATGTAGAATCTCATTATATTATCCTGGACGAAAATCCAGTTAGGATTAATTTAGTTGGCCTCACTGTATTGCTTCTGCCATGCAATGTCAGGAGGTTGCTCCTTTCCTTTCTCAAAGCCTTCAGAAGTAGTAGGTTGCTCTGACTAATTGAGGGATCCCAAGAGAAGATTTTTAGGGTGGAGTTAAAATGCCCAGAATCATATCCTGTGGATTTCTTGTATTAGTTCAGGATCCATTTGCAGTTAATGCTATATATGCTATCAATGCAAAAGTGTTGGACCAAAGTGTCAAAAACTTTTCTGCTACATAGAGGGCAGATTTCCCTTCACAGCATTTTAAGGTATACAAAATGCATCCAATCCTGAGATTGGCCCGAGACCAGTGCTGGCTTGGGTGGAGGACTGGTGAGGGGCAGCTCCTGTTCTGAGGCGAAGTCTTAGTGGATGTGATGGTCCCTCTTGAGTAAATACATAATAAGTATGAAGATCTGTCGGAAAATTGTCTTTCTGCTCCACTGGGAAGACTGAATCACAAGAGCGAGCATGGGAGAGCAATATAATAAGTGATCTATAATAACACTTCAGTCTGTTGTACATAGCAGAGCATCTTATTTGTTTGTCTCACAGACTCATTTCCTGAAGCAAAAGGCATTTTGAGACAGCATCCTTCCCCAAGGACCAGCTTTCACTGCCAGCCACATGTAGGAGCCTTAAGGGGCAGCTGAAAGCATTGCACTGCCCCGCGGCACCATCCGCAGCACTCAGCTCCCTACGAACATACAGCTTTCATAAATCCTTTCTCCCTGTTTTTTTTTTTTTTTTCTCACAGGTAAACTATGACCACTTTACTATTAGTGTTTGTGTGTTTGCGAGTCATCACCACAGCCGTCTCTGTGGAGCCCTCAGGTACGTGCCCCGGGCTGTGGGAAAGCGGGACTGAGCAATGTACTGCACTCTGGTCCCACCCCTGAGCATGGGCAGTAGCCAGAAATAAGTGTACCCAAAATCTGCTCCTCTATTTGGATGGCTGCTGTGCCATAGCTTCTCACTGTTCTTGTGCTTGGGGAGCCAGGGAGATAGCTCCAAGCAAAGACAGATATATGGGGAAACTAGGGGAATTTCAGCATTCCCCTTTTTAAACCCTGTCAGGTGTGGTCTTGTAGCGTGGGCAGCAGCTACACTGCAGTAGAGCCCTTCATTCCCCTCATTCCCACATCTAGCACTGGTCCAAATCCCAAAAGCAACCATGGTGCAAGGGTCATGGTTGTAACTTCCCTTTCTGCAAGGAATTTTCAGCAGACTAGACCAAAAAGGATAAGTCTGAATATGTGGGTACAGATTTGCAAAGCAGATATAGACATTGAGGCATATTGAAGCACTGGATATTTTGGATTAAATGTATTATTGATGTAACCATTGCTTTTTTTGGGAACTGGCAGACAGTAGTGATGGCCTGGAAGTGAAGATACCTGAGCAGTCTCCGCTGCGTGTTGTCCTGGGAAGCTCCCTGAACATTCCCTGCTACTTCAACATCCCAGAGGAACAGGATACCAGTGTTCTGCTGACCCCACGGATCAAATGGAGCAAACTCTCAAATGGGACCGAAGTTGTCTTGCTAGTGGCCACTGGTGGGAAAATCCGGCTCAACACTGAGTACAGGGAGGCAATCTCTTTGCCCAATTACCCTGCCATCCCCACTGATGCCACCTTGGAAATCAAGGCACTGAGATCCAACCACACTGGGATTTATCGCTGTGAAGTGATGTACGGGATTGAGGACAGACAAGACACAATAGAGGTCCTAGTGAAAGGTGAGATCCTGCCCTTGCTCTTTCCTCTCAAGATCTTACTGCCTGGCATGGGCAGAAGGGAGGAAGAAATATATGGGCAGAGGAGGTACTGCTCTCCCCATAGGCATAAACCCTTTCAGTCAGGTCACAGATAAGGCAATGCGTAGGTGAGCAGAAGCCATGAGCCAGGAATTTATTTTAGCAGGCTAGGACCAGACTAAACAAACCAGTAAAATGACTCATGGCAGGATATATGGCAATAAAATGACTCTTCTGGCAGAAGGTGAGTTACAGAGACAGTAAGACGACATCCTTGGCAGGAGGTGGTACTGGATGCACTGGACTATTGCTCAGAGGGGTGAAGCTGGAACAAGGCCTTTATAAGACCTTTTATTTCTTCCAAACATTTTAGGAGATGGGATGCCCTCAGCTGGAGAATAGGTCTGTTCTGGAAAAACTTTCCCCATCATCTTGCAAAGCCCATCCTAGTAATAGGTGGATAAAATAACAGAAGTTCACTACATCCCTTATGTTTCTCATGGTTCTTGCTTTCAGTGTAGGACAGTTAACCGGCAGACCTCTGCTACTCACATCCACTGGAGCACATATCTGACAACAGAGACTGGGAGTCCCCTCATCATCTCCTGGTGAATTTTCCTCCTGATTTAAAGCCTGCTCATGCCAGGCTAGGCTGTACAGATAGCCATCCTTTATAAATATCCCTGTTCGTCAAATAAATACGACTTAGATATGTTTGTATCAGATCTGAAGATTTTAAGTGTATATACCTCTTGTTATTGTTTTCTGGGTGTTTGTACAGTGATTGATACTCTGCACCCTTGGTCCTGAGCAGGACCTTGGGAGGTAGCAGTTTTCAAACCTGCACAGCAGCACAGCCCATGTTCTGCCTCACTAGCTGATTTCTGAACCATGCACTTAAAATGCTTCACAGACCTGTATCAGGAAAGTATTGAGTCCTTCTGACTGGCTGCGGGCTTCTGCCACTGTTCACACTACTATTCAGGTACTGGCTTTTAATGCAATATGACTTTGTTACAGCACCATGGGAGAGCAGCTGCTGTCCTAGGTCATCAGTGTGTTCCACAAGGTCCTGGGAAAGGAATCCATCAAGACACTCTTGGCTTGATGTGCTCAAATACAGACAATCAGCATAAATAGTTCATTGTTTCTAGTTGACATGTGGTATCTGTTCTTTGAATCCGTAACTTCTTTTTGAAGGAAAGGGGCTGGTTGTTCTCTAGCAGAGGTGTGAGTGATGGCCATTGTGTTTTCCAGGCATCGTATTCCACTACAGAGCAATCTCCACAAGGTACACCTTGAACTTCGAGAAAGCAAAGCAGGCCTGTATCGAGAACAGTGCTGTCATTGCTACTCCAGAGCAGCTGCAAGCTGCCTACGAGGATGGGTACGAGCAGTGTGATGCTGGCTGGCTGGCTGATCAGACTGTCAGGTAATGAGCTGTGGAGGGAAAAGGAAAGCCACGGCAGGGTTGTTAGGGGAGGGGTTCTGTAATGAGGCCACTGACTGACAAATGGGTGAGAAACAGTTGCTAAATATTGTAATTGCTGGTGTGCAGAGAGGAGGCGGTGGATTGCAAGTAATTCTCTGCCAGGGGGGAGTCTATAGTAGGAAAGCAGAGTGACCACTGTGCTCCTCAGCTGGTGGTGATAGTAGAGTGGACAATGGCTTAATCCTGATCTTTCATCCTCCCTGAATGAAACAGATGTTATGCCAAGATGCATAAATCTGGCTCAACCATTCTGAGCTGTGTATCCCCCACTGGGGAGGCACCTTGGCCTGAAGTCTTTGGCCGGTGTTCCCAGGGACCTGCTGTGCTCTGGACCATCAGAGGGAGAGCAGAACAGCAGATCATCCTTCCCCCTCCCCATAACCCAGGAAAAGCCATAAATCATCACACTGCACAGTGCTCCACAGCTCCCTCCCAGCCTCGCTGCGGCTGCCGGGGTCCTGACCGCCACCCCCCCCCCCCCCCATGCCCCTCCTCTCCCACAGGTACCCCATCCACTGGCCTCGGGAGCGCTGCTATGGCGACAAGGATGAATTTCCAGGAGTGAGGACCTACGGTGTCCGTGAGCCAGATGAAACCTATGATGTTTACTGCTATGCAGAGCAAATGCAAGGTGATTTGGGGCTTTCATTGTTCCTAGATGCAGTAAGTCAAAGCTCTGATCGTACCTAGACTGGACAACAGTAAGTACAGAGGCAAAGGGCCTAGAGGCAAGACAAGTTAAAGATGGAAAAGCGCATACCCCAGCAAGGCCAGATGTTCTCTATAGTCTCTTTGTTAGACCTTGGACAACTTTAATGTCAATTGACTAATGCATTACAGAGGGTGGAGTCCTTCTAACCTCCACCAGAGTCTATGCCATCTCTGTCTCTGTCTCTGGTCATCCATTTGAGCGTGTAATGTTCAGAGGTGTCCATCACCCATGCTTATGACAGGGTTCCATTGAAATATTTAGCACATCAGAACTGAGGTTGTCCTTCCTCTTCCTCTTGCCCTGTGGCTTCAGCTGGTTTGGAACGTTTTGCTTCCGTTTGTATTTGGTCTGTAAGACCCCCTTTCTTCTGGTCTTTATAGACAGTCACCAACGTGTGGTTGCAGTTCAGCTATAATACACAGGAATTTCCATCTTATCCAGAGTCTCAGGAGTGGGAAAGGGAAAGAAAGGGAATAGGGATCAAATTCTACAGCCAATTCCCGTGCTAACGGATGATGTGATTGCAGGTAAAGTCTTCTATGCCACCGCCCCTGAGAAGTTCACCTTCCAAGAAGCTTTCGACAAATGCCACAGTTTGGGAGCCCGTTTGGCCACCACAGGAGAGCTGTACTTGGCCTGGAAGGACGGCATGGACATGTGCAGCGCAGGCTGGCTGGCCGATCGCAGCGTCCGCTACCCCATTTCCAGAGCACGGCCCAACTGTGGAGGAAACCTGGTGGGCGTGCGGACAGTGTACCTGTACGTCAACCAGACGGGGTACCCTCACCCCCACTCTCGCTACGATGCCATCTGCTATAGTGGTGAGTGCATCAGGGCTGTGGGACTAAGCAATGTGTCTCTACACATCAGAAGGCAGGAGCTTCCTGGCCAGAGATAACCTCTTGCTTCTTTAATTTTTTTTTTTAAAGCAGGGGGAAAAGTAGGTTTGGCAAAGGAATTAGTCCCCCATTCATATCCAGGTAGGAAGCAGATCCAGAAAGTGCACAGATGCCTGATCTGTACAGGGGGGCCCTGAGGAGGTGGGTGTGACAGTGTAACACAGCCCACTTCTCTCCAGCCCTCCCACATCTTCCAGCTTTGGTAGCTCTCCTGGAGACATGGAGCAGAGCTCAGGTGCTTCATGTACAAGACTTTGAATGCTGGAGATGGAAGAGAAGGAAGAAGAGAACAGGTCTGGCCCTGAAGATGTATATGGTGCTGTGATGTGGTACAGATGTGCCTGAGTTTCCACATTGGGATAAATCAGAGACTGCAGCAGTCTGGCAATCAGAAGTGGGGAAAAAATGCACCTAGGAAGTTGAGAGCATCTCAGCTACTCCCTTTTTTTCCTAACTGCAGCAAAAAGGGGACAAAGCACAGTAGTACATGATCTGTTCAGGGCAACCAGAGGCTAGCATTAAATTAAGATTGCCATCTTTAAAAAAATAATAACAATATTTTAAAATATGTTTTGAAACCCCTTTGATACAGACCAATCGTGACCAGATGCATGCATGACCAGTGTGTCAGGAGACCCTTTAAAACCTCTCAGACCCCTTGGAGTTATCCAGCTACATGGTCAAGCTAAATACTGGTCCACCAAGCCCCAGCCTTCTGGTTATCTCAGGGCATGCATCTGAAACTGCTGAGTACAAACAGTCCTTGTCTGAGCATCTCTATCTAATTCTCTGAACCCCTTGAGGTCTGAGAGATACCGGATAAAATGAACTAGCAGGAAAATGGAACTGGAAATAAATAGAGCAGGGAAAGCAGTATTAGGGGAAAAGTTTGACAATGTCTTATTTTCTCTCCCTCCCCAGCTGAGACCTGCCTTGCTGCATATCCAAGATGTCCCATCCCTCCCTCACCTGCCCAGTTCTGTTTTATGTTGCTCTTTAAACCACTGTCCTTGCTGTAGGCTGACCTGCTCGGTGGCATGTTAAGCACTTTCTCCTACACCAAAGGGATGTGTCTTGAGCAGAAAAGTGATTTGGGAGGGGAAAGGTGGGAGATGTTTGAATGTAATTGGTGCAGCAGTTGGCCTTGGCTGTCCTGGTAATGGGGTTAGCATGTTTATATGTGATGAACTCTTAAGTTGTCACCTGGGCAGAGCAGGAGGAGGTCGTGATCCTGGTGAGACTTCATACATTGAGTGTGAAGACCCAGTTGTTTTTTTCCCACGGCTCAGACCTGCTGTGGAGGTTATCCAAGCTCCCCTCCGGCCACCTCAAATTCCTTGCAGCAGGCACTAGAGGTCAGTGCAGACTTGGATATGGGCAAGGTGTTCCCGGCAAGGAGAGCTGGGAGGGGAGCAGGGAAGGTCCTCCCTGATTTACCAGCTGTGGAACATGCCTCATTGCTCTTGCCTCTAACTCATGAACATGCCCTCGGTGCTGAGGTGTTGTAGAGATCCATACTGGAGGAAGGAAAATCATTTCTTTTACCAGACCATCATGATTTTCCTGCCTCTCTAAGAGCCAGCACACACCCAGCTTCTTCTCAGAGGCAGCACCAGTGCAGTACACCTTGCTAGACTGACTGTGTCCTCTCTGATTGTTTCTTTGTCTCCTGATGTAGTGGACGACATTGAGATTCCAGTCCCATGGAATTTCATAAACGAGACAGAAAGTGATCTGGGCAGCACTTTCACTGTCCAGACTGTCACCCAGACCGAAGTGGAGATACCTCTGGCACGCAACGCCACAGAGGAGGAGGCCCGCGGCAGCATTGCCACCCTGGAGCCCATTGAGATCACACCTACTGCCACAGAGCTGTACGAGGGCTTCACTGTCCTGCCCGATCTCTTCGCCACCGGTGCCACAGTAGAGACAGCTACCCCAGAGGAGGAGAACGTGACCAGGAGGGAAGTCACAGGGTTGTGGGCTGTACCTGAAGAGGTCACCACCACAGCCTTAGGCACTGCTGTCACCACTGAAATGGCAGAGGTGAGCTCAGTGGAAGAGGTCATGGGTGTGACTGCCACACCAGAACTAGAGTCTGCCTCAGCGTTCACAGTGGAAGACCAGCTCGTACAAGTGACAGCAGCCCCTGGTGTTGGTCTCCTCCCTGAGCAGTCCATCTCACCCACAGGTAAGTCACCAGGACTCCGAGAAGCCTAAAGATCGGTTTCTCCTAGAGGTGACCATTCATGAAAATAGCCTGAACTTCTGCCATCGAGGAGGGTATCCAGGTCCCTGGGGGTGTTCAGGCCTGTTAGGGGTCAGGGACAGGCTGAATGCCTCCACTACAGTAGGACAGGAGGGTTGAGGAGGAGGCTGTGGGCCACCCCATCATGTGCTGAAAAGGACTCAGCTGCCTAATCCTTTGGGCTGCAGTGGTCACACTCTGCACTTCCATATGCATCTTGCTCCAGGGAAGGGGAAAGTCAGGGTAGGAAGATCCTAGAGGAGAGCAAAAGAGATCCCCAGAACATCACCCTCATTGGCAGTGGAGCTCAATGAATGCGGCACCTTCATCAAAGTGGGTTTGGCAGGCACTGGTCCTTGCACTGTTGTTGGGAAGACCCTTTCTGGTCATTCATCTTGGTGGAGGGGGTTCCTGTATCTGATGTCTCACTACAGCTTCTCTTCCCTCAGGTGTGGTGTTTCACTATCGCGCTGCCACCAGCAGATACGCCTTCTCCTTTGTCCAAGCCCAGCAGGCCTGCCTGGAGAACAACGCGGTTATTGCCACTCCCGAACAGCTCCAGGCTGCCTACGAGTCTGGCTTTGACCAGTGCGATGCTGGCTGGCTGCGGGACCAGACAGTCAGGTAAAACTATATTGACTAGGGGAAGACACCTCTCAAAATTACTTTTCAGCCATGAAATTGAGGCTTTGCTGTGGTCTGCCCTGATACTCTGCTCATCAGCATCCAAAGCTTTCCTGACCCAAGGCTGCCTCCAGGCCGTGATATCTAGTGGCCAATAGATCTGCTCTTCTCAGCTTGTTCTACCTGTTTCCTAACCTGTGTATACATCCTGCAGCAGTGAGCTCCCCTAACATGTAGGAAAAGTGGAGGAAAGTTTGTATTTTTTGCCTCAACCTGTAAATGGACTTGTCTCCAAGCCACACTGAGGGCTCTGAGCATCTCTAACGGTGAAGTGTTCATGTCCTGCTCCCAAGTGCACTGAGGTTTCAGTCCAGGGTACATAAGGCTGACTTTGGGTCACCTCCTCTCTTCTTCTTTTGGTAGGTATCCTATTGTGAATCCCCGAAGCAACTGCGTAGGAGACAAAGAGAGCTCTCCGGGTGTGAGGTCATACGGCATGCGCCCAGCCTCAGAGACCTACGACGTGTACTGCTACATTGACAGGCTCAAGGGTACTTTCTCTCCCTTCCTCTGGGCACAGCCGTGGAGCAAAAACGTGCTTCACACCTCCACATCTACATGTGCACAGGTGGGATGCAGGGACTCATGCTTGTTTTCTCCCCCAACCCTCAGGCGAGGTGTTCTTCGCAACCCAGCCAGAGCAGTTCACCTTCCCAGAAGCTCAGCAGTACTGTGAGAGCCAAAATGCCACACTGGCCTCTGTTGGCCAGCTCCACGCTGCCTGGAAGCAGGGCCTGGACAGATGCTACGCTGGGTGGTTAGCTGATGGCAGCCTCCGCTATCCCATTGTGAGCCCCCGTCCCGCCTGTGGTGGGGATGCGCCTGGCGTGAGAACCATCTACCAGCACTACAACCAGACGGGCTTCCCCGACCCGCTGTCCCGACATCATGCCTTCTGCTTCCGAGGTACCTTCCCACCCTTTGAAGGGCATTCAGACCTGTCTCCTCGGGGAAAGGGATGTCATGAGGGAGGTTGGGCACATCGGGGTGCCAGTTTGGGCGAAGCACTTCACTGTCATCTTAGACCGTGAATTTTTGGGAACTCCCTTCAATACTTTTTTGTTCCAGCTCTGCCACCCGCAGAGGATGGGGTCACTTCATTCTTTGAAGAAGACGTGCTGGCAACCCAAGTGATCCCTGGAGTGGAGGGGGTGCCCTCTGGGGAGGAGGTGACTGTGGAGACAGAATTTGCCACTCAACCTGAGAATCAGACAGCCTGGGGGACAGAGGTCTTTCCAACTGATGTGTCACTGCTCTCAGGTGGGTCAGAGCTTCCCCATCTCCTGAGTCACACTTGGCTGGTGTTGCAGGGTTGGGACATTCCCAAAATAAAAGAGCTGTGTCCTTGCTGAAGGGGACTCCCTCTAAATCTAGACTCTTATCACCATATTATCAAACTCTGAGGCTGTGCACACAGGAGGAGCTACACATGTATGTTATTGAACTTCTGTCTAGGACTGAACTAAATGATCAGCAGACCAGCACACACAGCTCTGGCAGAGCACCTTACAAAATGTGTTGTTGTGTATCTGGGATGGGGAAAGTAGGCTAGAAACAAATCTCAGGCCATGCCTTCTAGGGAGGACAGAGCTGCAGTGTAGTCAGAGCAGCACCAAACTTTTTCTCTCCCACATTATCTCTGATGAAGCAGTAGATTGGTTTTGGCACCTGGGAATTGGTATCACTGTTGCCATTGTCCCATGTCAGAAGATTATATATGCTGTCAGATTCCCAGAGATATTTAATTTATAGTTGTTTAACATATGATGTTCATTAAAAAATTTGAAGGGACCAAATTATTTCTGCAGGCACATAGGACTTTGTGCCTTTATCCCAAAGGTATCAGTTTGGTGGTAAAGTCAATCAGGAAATTGTTAATAACTTCCTTAAAAAAAATAGTAAATAATTTTCCTATCTCATTCTCTCTGTTTTCTCTTTATTTTCCAGTGAGTCCACCTGCTTTTCCTCCAGCTACCATAATACCAGAGGAAACAAGTACCAATGCTTCCATCAGCAAAGTGTCAGGGGAAGTGACTGAGTCTGGAGAACCTCAAGTCAGTGGTGAATCTTCGGCATCCGGGTGGGTATCTGGAGTCCTGGATACAAGTGGAGAACCGACTTCTGGAGGTTTTGTATTTAGTGGAGAACACTCAGGGACTGGAGAAAGTGGATTACCATCAGTAGACCTGCATATCAGTGGCTTTCCACCTGGAGAAAGTGGGCTACCCTCAGGGGACCTGAGTGGCATGCCTTCTGGCACTGTTGACATCAGTGGCTTACCTTCTACAGAAGATGATGTATTGGTGCCTATTTCAAGGATACCAGAAACTAGTGGGATGCCATCTGGAGTGGAAAGCAGTGGGCTGCCTTCTGGATTTAGCGGAGAAATATCTGGCACTGGGATAGTCAGTGGCGTGTCATCTGGAGAGGAAAGTGGACTCACCTCCGGTTTTCCTACCATCTCTCTTGTGGATACCACACTGGTGGAAGTTGTAACAACAGCACCAGAATGGCAAGAGGAAGGAAAAGGATCCATCGGGGTCAGCGGTGAAGGAGATCTGTCAGGGTTCCCATCCACGGGGTGGGACACCAGCGGTGGAGCTCAAGGGTTACCCTCAGGAGCTGAGCTCAGTGGGGAACCATCTGGTATGCCTGAGCTCAGTGGGGAACCTTCTGGGGTGCCTGAGCTCAGTGGGGAGCTTTCTGGGGTGCCTGAGCTCAGCGGAGAGCCCTCCGGAGGTCCTGAGCTCAGCGGGGAGCCCTCCGGAGGTCCTGAGCTCAGCGGAGAGCCCTCAGGACTGGATGTGAGTGGAGAACCATCTGGAACACATGATATCAGTGGCCTGGTAGACCTAAGTGGCCTTACCTCTGGTATCGATGGAAGCGGTGAAGGCTCGGGCATTACATTTGTAGATACCAGTTTGGAGGAAAGGACAACCACCTTCTCAATTACGGGAGCAGAAGCAAAAGAGATTTTAGAAATCATTGGATTGCCTTCGGGAGGTGAAGATGCATCAGGCATGGTATCTGGGAGTTTAGACATCAGTGGTGAGACTTCTGGGCATGTAGACTTTGGTGGGAGTGCTTCTGGCGTGCTCGAGATGAGCGGACATCTGACTGGAGTGATTGACAGCAGTGGAGAAGTCTCTGGAGTCGATGTCACCAGTGGCCTACTGTCTGGGGAGGAAAGTGGACTCACCTCTGGCTTTTCCACAGTCTCTCTTGTGGACACCACTTCGGTGGAAGTCGTAACACAGGTGTCAGTTGTACAAGAAGTGGGAGAAGGATCATCTGGGATAATAGAAATCAGTGGATTTCCTTCTGGAGACAGAGGACTATCTGGAGAAGGGTCTGGAGCCATGGAGATTAGTGGGTTTCCCTCAGGGACAGGAGACTTCAGTGGAGAGCCATCTGGGATCCCATACATCAGTGGAGACGTTTCTGGAGCCACAGATCTAAGTGGACAATCTTCAGCAGTGACTGATATTAGTGGGGAGGCTTCAGGGCTTCCAGAAGTCACTTTAGTCACTTCTGACTTAGTAGAAGTTGTGACAAGACCAACAGTATCACAGGAACTGGGTGGGGAAACCGCTATCACATTTCCCTACAGTTTTGGCCCAAGTGGTGAGGCCTCTGCATCTGGTGAACTAAGTGGGGAAACATCTGCATTACCAGAAAGTGTCACAGAAACATCAACAGCTTATGAAACCAGTGGTGAAACATCTGCATTTCCCGAAACTAGTATAGAAACATCCACAACTCAAGAAATCAGTGGGGAAACATCTGCGTTTCCTGAAACTAGTGTAGAAACATCCACAATTCACAAAATCAGTGAAGAGACATCTGCATTTCCTGAAATTTTCATAGAAACATCCACAAGTCAAGAAGCCAGGGGTGAACCATCTGGCTATCCTGAAATTATCATAGAAACATCCACAATTCAAGAAGTAAGTGGGGAAACCTCTGCATTTCCTGAAAGTAGCACAGAAACATCCGCAAGTCAAGACATCAGTGGGGAAGCATCTGCATTTCCTGAAATTAGAATAGAAACATCCACAAGTCAAGACATCAGTGGGGAAACGTCTGCATTTCCTGAAATTAGAATAGAAACATCCACAAGTCAAGACATCAGTGGGGAAACGTCTGCATTTCCTGAAATTAGAATTGAAACATCCACAAGTCAAGACATCAGTGGGGAAACATCTGCATTTCCTGAAATTAGAATAGAAACATTCACAAGTCAAGAGGCTAGGGGTGAAACATCTGGCTATCCTGAAATTAGCATAGAAACATCCCCAGTCCATGAAGCCAGTGGAGAAACATCTGCATTTCCTGAAATCAGCATAGAAACCTCGACAGTCCATGAAATCAGTGGTGAAATGTCTGCTTTTCCTGAAATTAGCATAGAAACTTCAACAGTCCACGAAATTAGTGGAGAAAGTTCTGCCTATCCTGAAATTAGAATAGAAACATCCACAAATCAAGAAGCCAGGGGTGAAACAGCTGTCTACCCCAAAATTAGCATAGAAACATCCACAGTCCATGAAACCAGTGGGGAAACATCTGCATTTCCCGAAATTGGCATAGAAACTTCAACGATGCGTGAAATCAGTGGGGAAACCTCTGCATTTCCTGAAATTAGAATAGAAACTTCAACAAGTCAAGAAGCCCAAGGCGAAACATCTGCATTCCCTGAGATTAGCATAGAAACTTCTACAATCCATGAAATCAGCGGGGAAACATCTGCGCTCCCCGAGATTAGCATAGAAACACCAAGTCAAGAGGCCAGGGGTGAAACATCTGCCTACCCTGAAATTAGCATAGAAACATCCACAGTTCAAGAAGTAAGTGGGGAAACCTCTGCGTTTCCTGAAATTAGAATAGAAACATCCACAAGTCAAGAATCCAGGAGTGAAACATCTGCATTACCTGAGACTAGCATAGAAACATCCCCAGTCCATGAAACCAGTGGTGAAATATCTGCATTTCCTGAAATCAGCATAGGAACGTCCACAGTCCACGAAACCAGTGAAGAAACATCTGCATTGCCTGCTGCTAACATCAAAACAGCTGCCACATCTTTGGCCGGTGGTGAGCCTTCTGGTGCTCCTGAGAAGGAAATTCCTGATGCGACATCTGGAGCTGTGACACACTTAGTCACAGGCGTTTCAGGAGAAACCTCTGTCACAGATGTTGTAATTAGTACCAATACTCCAGATGTTGAATCAACACAGGCACCCAGGAACCCTGAAGAGACTCAGCTTGAAATAGAACCCTCCCCTCCCGCGGTGTTAGGACAAGAGACAGAGACAGCCGTTGTTCTAAACAATCCCCATCTGCTGGCTACCACTACTGCTGCCCTGCCTCAAATCTCACAAGAAGCAATAGATGCATTAGGACCCACTACAGAAGGTACTGTGTCTTCTTCTCGTATGGAAGGGAAGGGAGGGAGGAGGCATAACTGTCACTTTTTTGCTTCTTCTACAGCAGAGAACATTAACACAGAAGCAAACATTATTGTGGTGGGAACCCATAAGTATGTGGGGGTTTTCACAGGTAATGTTCGATAGCTCCTGTCTTAACAAATGACAGTCTGTGTTTGGCTAGGTAATGCAATTATCCAGCCACCATAACTGCATTCCCAGAAGCCTCCAGGACCTCCCTTCTGCCTGTCCATGGCAATTACATGCCCCTGGGGAGAGCAGAAGATGACCAGTTCAAAGGAAGCACCAGGAGATCCATATCTGGCCTTCCCGCACTGCCCCATAGCAGTAGGTATCAGTCACTCCTCTGAACTGCTGGTTTTGGTGGCCATGGCTGCACCCCAGCCATGATGAGCAGCCCAGTGGAGGTGGCACCTGCCAGGAACATGATGGAGGCATCGTCTGCTTGTGCCCCCCCAGGGTACCCAGGTCATCACTGGGACATAGGTGAGCTCTCCTCCCTGCGCTGCCAGAGGTGGGGGATTGTCAAAAAGTATTCTGTGAATGGTCATTGGGAGCTGCTGTGACCAGGTCCCTGGGTGTCATATAGCTGGGGAAGGCATTAGGACATTCACACTCCCTCTGAAATTTCTCTAAGCCATTGCTATAATCTAGAGAAAACAACAGTTTTTATTTCTCATGTGGAAACAAGAGCAAAGACAGCTCCACCCACCAGAGGCTTCCACCCTGACTAATGGATGCAGCTGAGAAGTTGGATAAGATGGGCTGCAAGTCCCTGTCCTGTTTTGTTTCTTTTTCTATTGACTTGCTGCCTGTATCTCTGAGTGTTTCACAGCAGTTGCTCCACAGTGGGAGGCTGGCCATCAGCAGCTTTGCAATGCCAAGGGGTAAGAAGCAAAGCAAGCCAGCTGGGGACAAAAATCTATGCTCTCAGCATCATCTGTGCCGAGTGCAATGTTTGCATTGGGCAAACTGCTCCAATCCCATTGGCACAGAGCACGGCCACCCTCTAGTCTGTGTCTTATACTGCTCTCTGCAGTTAGAATGGGCTAAATGTGTGACACGATGCTCAGAGCATCGGGACTTTTTGTCAGCTCCACTAATAAACACTCTTCCTTCCACCCTGCCCTCTTTGGAAATCTGACATTTTGTCTTTGGTAGGATCCCTTGCTGCCAAGTGTAAACAGACGCAATATTTAAATCTGAGTAAACATTTATGGTGAAAACACTCTGGTAGCTTTCTGACAAGCATCCCCTGAGCAGTGTTCAGGTGCCACGGAGGCATTAGGATACTGCAATGAGAAGAAAATGAGATGGGATGTTGCTGTTCTTGATGGTGGCTGCTTCTTGGCCAAGGGAGGAGCCTGGTAACACAGGATGTCCTGCCACATCCCTGGCCATGGCTTGGTTTCATTTTGCTGCAGTCAGGAGCAGGCTCCTGGGTGCAGGCCCCGTTTGAAAACCATCAATGCTTGTGCTCTTGTATGAAGGCCCTACATATGCTCAGTTCTCATTGGGCCACATGTTCATGTAAGACATGTTGTTTAAGTGTGGTACAAAATGTATGTGCAAAGAGATTTGCTCAGTTCCTTCTAGCAAAAGTAATATTAATTCCGCTCCCTTCCCACGTTACCTCCTGAACTGCTTCTTTCTAGTTAATTTACATTATTCAACATAGGTAGCTCTGGAGTCTGTAAAGGTCTATATGTGCAGGGCTTTGTGAAGCTCAGCTTGGTTCCTAACAACATTTCCATCCCCCAAAGTGTTTCAAATGAGTCACTACATTTCCCCCTGCATCACTTCTCTATCTCTGAGAAAACAGGTAATCACAAACCTTTGTTCAGTCCTGCTCATAACACATTTGAGGTCCTGTCTGTCTCTGCTGAGCAGCTGCCGAGCGGACGCTGCAGGACTGGGTGAGGGCACGTCAGGGGGCCATTCCCACAGCACTGGTCCAGGCTGGCATGGTGTCCACGGCTTGGCAGGGTGTTGCAGGAGTTACATACTCAAAAACCCTCCTTGCACACCTAATGGGCTCTGCTTTTCGGCCATGTCTGCTGCCATGCCCAAGCCTAAAGACAAAAACAAGCCAGCAAAGGCAAGGTTGAGGGGAAGGAAGGAAACTAGCCAGTGAGGCTCAGCAAAAAAAAAAAAAAAAAAAAAAATATATATATATATATATTGGCCCCAAAGTATGGTTTTATTTCATTGCTTTTTCTTTTTATAAATTATCCACGAGTCGATTGCCAAATTCTTCAGAGCATTTGTTAGCCAACATTCTTGTGAAGTATTTTGAAAGAAAAACCATGTGTTCAGCAGCTCATGTGTGAAGAAGCTTGAAAAATATTCTGAAATTGGAACATATGTATTTGCAAGTCACAGAGATGACGATGTAGCAGCTGCAGTTTCTTAGCAAGTGACAGGGAGAGGTAAGCAACGACTACATGAAGTTTAGTTGTAGACTATAAACTAGAGGTGGGCTGGAATACACGTGCATGGCTGGTGCTCCCACCAGGGAAGATGTTATAGGGTAAAACTTCTCTTTATTGGTAAGCTTCTTTACTACAGTGTCTCTATAGGGTTAAATGAAATCCTCATCAGTGTCTGAGGAAAGTTCATCCAGGTGGCAAGAAAGTGTATTGACTATGAACCTGCAACACCCCTGCAACAAGGCAAACTTATTCTAGAGAATTAGAGTAAAGTGATGACAAAAGAAGAAAAAATGATGAAAATTAATCACAGATTTCCTTTTTTGGGTCATTACTCCTTACAGTGCTCTAGGGACTGTGAACATGGAAAATCTACAAGGAAGAACCATAAACTGGAACCCAAAATGCCATTTCCCATGTTGTGGTTGCCTTTGTATCTGAAGCTTCCCAGTCTTGAAATTTAGTTCTTGCAAAAAGATCAATGCTTTGTGCTGTGCTCAGAGTTTGTGGGATGTAATGGATGCTCGTTAAGTGCAATTAATTTTGACTAACATTAAAGCACGGGTGAAGCTAGTTCAGTTTACAGAAGCAGTTTAGAGTGAGGATTACGGAGGCATGTGCCTGTTGCCCTCTTGTCCTTTTATTGAAGAGTTCCAGTTAGGAACAGCAGTCTTTTTAGTGGGATGATTTAAGAATAATTACATTTTTCTGCTCTGCTGTAGTCTCTACTTCTCTCTAAAAGCAAGAGCCAGAAGCACAAGAAGACTGAAGATTAACGCTTGGAGTGCCAGTATTTTTTAGTGTTTAACCAAATTGAAGGCTGCACATGCACATGTCTTTAGACAGCAATTTGATTCCTCCGTGAGGACAGGAACCCCACAAGCTTGAAGAATTGTCCATAGTCTTGGCTTCTTCACCCAGAGATATGCCAACTCAGCGAGTCTTTTTGCTTCTGGTAACATTTGAAGACAAATAATTATTAGCTGAAAAAAGCATGCTGACATTTCAGTGAAAGGCTGTGGTTTGGACCACTCTGACCAGTCAATGACTTAAAAACTTCACTCAAGTTGGGGGAAAAAAGAGAAATGTGCTGAAATGGCAGCTATTTATGTAAAATTTTGCTTTTCTCTGGTGAAATGAGTTCATGAAGTCTGCTGCCTATGGCCCCAACACAGCTGAAGGTTAGAATCCAAATAAGGAAATGTCTTGATCAGCTTTCTTTATTCTTCATGCCCTGGGAGTACAAGGGATAGAGTTTTGTTGGTCCAGATAAGATTATCACAGAAGAAAAAAGTCTAAAAAATGTTCACCTGATTCATAATGTTTTACATAATGTGGAATGAAGAGTATCCTCTCAAGAAAAAGATAGAGGTACCAGTCCTGGCTGAAAGACAAGAAAAAGCACAGACCATTTGTGTCTGACCAGATGATTTGATGTCTCCTGGATATATTGTCTATTTTGCGTCAGAAGTTTATTAGCTTAATTAAAACCTTTCTCTGAAGAGGCAAGTCCTTGACTAGTGTTATATACATGTCAGTTTACTTCTGCACATAGTATTTTGGAGGCAGAGATGTCCAAATTTCCTGACCTCTCCTTCCATGATGGACGATGTTGGACAAATCGAAGGTCCCATCAAATCAACAGGTTCTCCTGCAAACTTACTGTTCTCTAGATGAATATAGCTTTTTAAGGCTGTAGGAATATCTGTCCCTTCTGCTGCATGGAGGCTTTGGTTTAATTACTGTAGTTAATTATTTTAATGACTTAATTGCTCATCATAAGTCACTAGCTGGCTATGTGACGTTCAATGATAACATTTAACTTAAAATGCAAGGGAACTCCTTTCCCCAATTCCTCCTATTATTTTCTTGTAAGAGTCACCTTACAATTGCTCCGATGTTTTCCTTTGTTGTTTGAGCTATCAGATCGACAGTTCAAACTTCCCAGGAGTCTCTGAAAAGCAAATTTAATTTGTACCTGGATTATTTTTTTTTCCTCAGTCAGCAGAAGATAATTATCTAGCTGGTCTCTCGGTCCCTTTTTGGATAATTTTACTTACAAGGAGGCCTATAAAGAAGGGGTGAGGAGCACAACAGGGACTGTTGGACATCCTGAAAATGCATTGCCTTTCTGTCTTACCTTTTTCCTCTCTACAGAACAATACTAGGAGTTTAAAACCTAAGGTATATTTTAAACTGGTTACTCACAGCTTCAGTAAAGCTATACAATTTGTTCGGAGTTTGGATGATAGCATCCTCTCTGTTCACAAGCTGATTCTCCTCAGTAGATGTTTTAAGCACAAAGCTGACCTTGTTTAATAGGTATTCTTGCTCATGTTCCATACAGGCTGCCATTGAGAGAAATGCACAGACTGTACTGTTTTAAAAAGCGTTATCACTGTTCCTAGTACTGTCTTCTTAGCTTGGAATGAAGGATTTTAAAAGTATTTCCTTCTCACCATTGATCACTTTTGCATGCCATTTTCTTTCTGAGCAAAACCAGTACCAATCTATTTCTCTTTCATTTCTAAAGGATTTCTCTTTCCAATTTCCATGATCAAGCACAGCAAATTGTTTTCAAAGGCATTGGGAGAATACTTATGTTGTGTTTAGTTGCACCAAACGAAAATCGTTCTGACTAAATATAGTATGTATCTGGCAATGTAAAGGAAATCTTGGGAAGAAAATGGTGAAACAAATTCAAAGTTTGCATTGTAGCTATGTAACTCCCCTTCCTTTCTCCAGCCAACAGTTTACATCTTCCAGATGCAAGACCCTGTTTTCATTGGATATTTTGTTTTAATTGTTTTATTTAAAAAAAAAAAAATCTAGAAATTAGAGCTTGGGTCCTGTCAGTAGCAAAAAATAGAAACTGCTGTCACAATAGATTTGAATAATCTTTTGCAACTTCTGAGCAATATTAACTGCAGTACGAATCGTCTTGTAAAGAGCTGCTAATTTTGCATTAGCCTTAAGAAGGGAGTTTACAATATATTCTAAATGGGCTTCCTATTCTTGGCACCACAAGGCATTTTCTTCCCTGTCTTTGTTTTAGAGCTGAATCTCTTGAAAGCAAGGGCTGCCCGTGTTCTGCATCCCATGTCCAAACATTTGTCCTTTGTTAGCACTGGGTAATAATAGCAGTAGTATTGTCTTCTTGTCAGTTGATAAGCACTTGAGCGGCATCCCAAAGCAGAGCTGACTTTCTGAATGACTGTTCACCCAAGCAAATAAGTAGCTCATGACTGTGTAAGATCCTTGAGTGTCAAGGTGCCTGGCTGTGGAAGTGGGCACTCGCTTCGAGCTGAACAGAGCTGGCACACCTAATGCGCCACAGGCTTTTCAGATGGCTGAAGAGGTGTACAGTGATTTACTAACCTCATCTCACTCTAAACTATGTGGAAGTGGATACATTTACAGTATATAAAATGCTATGAAGAAAATAGCCAAGTGTTACATGATAGATAGGATTTTTTTTTTTTTACTGGAGTTCTCACCTCCCATGAATCCTGTGACTTAGGTGAGATATCCTAGAAACACACACAAATCAACTTGCCAAGGTTTCCAGAGACAGCAACACTGACAGTTTTGTCATTTAGAACTTAACCTTTTTAAAAGACCTCCAAGAACCAGATTTTCTGGGAGGACCAGGATCAACAACACTTCCTCCAAGCCAACAGACACAGTTGAGTTTCCTGATATCAGCTTGGTGAGGTGATTCTACACCCAGATGACAACAAGGTCACTGCCCCAACAGCCCAACGGGATGAAGGGGAAGTTTGGTATTTCATCATGTGTTTAAAACATCTTCTCTCCAGCCATTTGCAGTATGCTCCTGGGAAGAATACCTGTCTGTGTAACTTATATTTGTTGTCTGTTTTTCCAATGCTACCTACAAGTACACACCCTTTCTCTACGTGTCATATATAAAAATATATATGTATATGTATGGAGAGACATATAACATATATATTATATGCAGAGATTTGTTTTTACAGCATGTATAATATGTGCAATCATATTATATCCAGTATCTGTAAAAGGAAATTCTGTTCCAGGGTTATTTCCCAGCTGGAAATTTGTGGTAATGACTTTGCACATGTGTGCCTGTTCCCTCCTTCTCCAAAACCAGGGATGCAACTCACAGCAGGTCTCCTGCATCTCAGAAATGTTCTTGGATGCACCAGCTTTTAGTCCATGTGGCCGAAGACAGCTGAAGACTCATTATTCCCTTCTAAACGTTCTGCTTTAGCCTTTGTGTGTGCTTTGTTCCCACTTCTGTGGCATGCTTTCCACTCCATGGACCCTAACGGACAAAGGAGAGCCTTTCCTTACTTGTTCAGCTGGAGCCCACTGGAATCAATACAAACTTCTGCTGCCACTGCTGTTGGGAAGCCCAAGGGGCCTCTAGAGTTGTAATCATCCCTCAGGATACCTCATTTTCCTTTATGCTCTCTATCTTCTAGGAACTCCAAGTGTGACTAATAAGCAACAGTCAGCCAAGTTCATCTCCCGTCTTCTACTAGGCCCGTGATCCCTATTTTGTTCTGGAAAGTCTCAAAGTATTTATTAGTGTTATGGAAACAGGAATTCTCTTCATGTCGCAGTGAACAAAGAAATCCAGAAAGCATTCATGAGTATTTAGGAGGGCAATGCAGAGCAAAAAATCCCTTCTCTCCAAGAAGAATTGCAAAACTGGAGGAAGAGGTTCGTCAGCCATCTGAGGAATAATTGCATTGTTCGCAGTGATACAGCCTAGAATAAAGATGACAATCTTCATGCTCCAAAGCACAAATGGATTTACCATCCAAGGTCAGGAAGGATTTTCTCCATCACTTAGGCACATTACAGAACACATCAACATTTAGTTGACATATCAGACATTGGCCACTGAGTGACTAGACAGACACATGAGGTATAACACGCATCTGCTTTCATAAGTCTGGGAACACTGAGCAGCTGGGCCGTGGTTCTGCAGGGAGACAATATCCGACCGAATATACCCCAGTCAGAAGATGAACACAGACCCTGGGGAGTCGCTGCTCTGCTCTGGTATTTCCATAGCGAGCATGTTTATAATTTTTGAATGTTTTCTCACTAACCCCTCTCATCAACAAGAAGAGCATGGAGTGTTAGTCAGCACTTTTAAATCCTTACATTTCTTCTGAGTGTGAAAAAGAGAAAAGTTGTCTCGCATGAGGATCTAACCAGTCATCATTTAACCTAACCTGTGCGGATGTGCTCCCACTTTCTTCTTTAGTATTCCTCCTTGTTTCTGACTTGAAAGTCTCTAAACTCCTTCCATTCTGAATGACTCTTCTTCTGATTCCAAATCTCAGTTAGTAGATTTAAGGTTCAATCTGGAAAGATACTGGGAGAAGAGCTTTTACATCCATCACAAGCTAGATTTTACAATATATAGATACAAACTGGCTACCTGTGGCCCTCTTCAGAGCATCTATGCTTCCTGCCTTCTGCCCCAAGATGACAAGGGATGGAAGTGCTACCAAATGGTGGCAATTACTACTTGTGCTAATTAACAAGTTGAGGAACATTGGAGAGTTAGGGGCCAAATTCTTCCTATACCAACTTCTATTTTCACATCCAGAAAATCAAAAAGGTTCTTAAGTGCTGTTGTATCTAGATGAGAAACTAGGAGTAGTTTCCTCCACTAAGATGGAATCCACAGCTGAAAAAGATGTACCAGCTTCTTCCAACTCCATCACAAGCAAGAGAGCACATTGTGGGGAAAGATCTGGAGAAAGTGGTACTGCACACCACTATTCTTCACCAAGGAAGAGGCACCCATAGTTAGGTCTAAGATCCTCAAAAGTAAAAAGTTGAGGGTCTCTGAACCACCTTTGAACCCACTTCTTCTCTGCACTTTCTTCATCTTCACTGAGAAGAGATTTCTTGCCCCAGAACTTCATCTAAATTATGGTTAGGAAGAAACTAGTAATGAGCACTGGCAACCAGGAAAGCCAGTTAGGAGATAGAGATCTATTTCAGGATGTTTCTATCACTTATGAGGATTCTGTACTCTTCCTCGTAGACCCTTAGCTGGTGGAGACACAGACACAAGTTTGCATGTTTGATGCATCAGGCAAAGACAGCGGACAAAGAAGAGTTACCACAGCTGTCAAAGACACTGAGTGCCATGTACTGGATACATCTTGATGAGCTTGTACTGATATCTTCAGAGTGGTGTTCAACCATCAAGTGACAGAAAACCAATGACTTCCTTGTAGGGTGGGTTGGGTCTTTTGCCTTCATTCTTCCAACAGCAACAGTGGCAGTATGTTTTAAAATAAGACCCTAGCAACTTCCAAGTTCCCCCAAAACAACTGATATTCTCTCCTAAACAAGCAAGGAAACAAACTCTCCTGTTGGTGGAGTTGTCTGCCCAGAGCCCTAATGGAAGCCCTTGATTTCTTGCAGACACTGATGAGTGCCACTCAAGCCCCTGTCTGAATGGAGCTACCTGCGTTGATGGCATCGACTCTTTCAAATGCTTATGCCTTCCCAGCTACGGAGGGGACCTGTGTGAGATCGGTACGGCCTATCTGGCTTCAGCTAATCTTACTAACTGCTGCACTACATTGTTCCCACCCTACTCCCAAAAAAGTGTATTCCAAGTCCTCCCATCAGTCCTGCTCTCATCTCAGTAAGCTAACCTCTAACAGCAGCTTTAAATACACTAGGGAAAAGCTTTGAGTCTTTTGTTTATATATTTTGATTAGCCTGTTCATCACAGCACCATGTCCTCTAAGATTCCTAAGCAGGAGGTTCTGGTGTCTTCTTCAGCTTTCTCTTTTTTAAGTTTATCTAGTAAAGCTCCATACAGATCATAACGTTGCTCACAGAAGTTGTTGTCTCTTTGGTTCAAGGGTCTTTCTGTTCCTCTGTAACAGCAGGGGAACATCTGAGTACATCTTTACCCCAGGCAAACTTTCTCTGCTAGACTGGAATTTCATGGAAGGATGCTTCAAGTGAGCCATGAAAATGATTGTGTTCCAATCTGTGAAGATGCAGCTGAGAGAAGCCTCGTTCACTCCAGGAATCTCCACTGATCTGACACAGCATGACATTTTTGTCATCTCTTCAACATGGTTTCCTGTGGCAAAATCAGCAGGGAATGTAGAACTTTGAGAAAGCATGAAGTGACCTATTTTTCCATCAAAATTAGGTACACTGACCTGCACTAATACTTCTTTTTCTTTCTATAAGAAAAGAAAAATAGTTGTTGTTTTTTTCTTAAAGCTGATGGAAGTCCAAATTTTTATCAGTTTAGCTGAGGCTCTCCTGACTTCCTCAAATGAAAGAGAAATTAGGTTGCAGTGGCTTCTTCACCTTGGCATAAGCAATGATAATATATATTGGACTTTTTCATTCCCTTTCTCTGCATCTCTCTTTCTGCTTCCAATATGAACATGTGGAGTAGACCGTAGGAAGGTGGTTCAGGATCATTGGGCCATCTGAGCAGGAGTTGTGCTATCTTAACATCACTTTCCTAATGCAAATTAATCAGCCCCTGATTTACACATCCCTGCTATCTGTTGTTGAAGATACCTGTAATCCCACAAGAGACTTTCTACCCTGCAGCTGCTTACAATCTTGTTTGGTTCAAGCCAGACTTAATTTTCTCTCTTCTCTGATTTATGGGCTCGTGATGCCTGGGACATGCAGGAGGAAGTCAGTGCCCGGAATCCAGTGGGGAATATAAATGTTCATTATTCCCATGAGGCAGACTGTCCTTTCTGTTGGCCTTCAAGAACAGCAGGACGCCGTATGTGAGCTTTGCCATCTGTGCACACAGCCAGTCCTTCTTTTCACCATGACAGTGGCCCTACCAGGGAACAAGATTTTTGCCATTCTTTTCCAAGGCTATTGTTGTAATTTTTCCTCCTAACAGGTATGTAGGAAAGAGCGGCCTTTTTCCTAGGAAATATTCTGCTGAGGTTCTGTGCCATGTGCTGTCCCATCACCAGGCTGTGATGACAAGGGGTGGCGTTCAGGCTGCTGGAAAAAAAGTCTTAAATCTCAAAAGACAGAGCATGTTCTCTACTCACCTTGTGCAAGCCATCTGCCTGCCAAATCCTTAGAGCTTCAGCTACTTCCAGATAATCCATTTGATCTGCTGAAGAAGGCAAAAGATGTTTTTAATGACTCAACCAACTACCAAGCCTTCCAAAGTTTGTGAAGCATCTTCTGTCTCCAGATGGAAGAATACCAGAAGGGTGGTTTAGCAGGAATTAGTGTGAGTGAAGGTGACAAGTGCTTTGACCTACCAAGTTTAACAAAGAAGAAAGAGAGTACAGAAAGCCTTACTGGAAAGGGAGAGAGGCATGAGAAGTCATGAAAGCCCACCACTCCAAGAGCAGTAAGCACCTGAGAAAGGATGGTAGATCCAGCATCTGAAAGGCTGAGATTAAACACATTTAGTTTTCTGTTTCCTTTGGTCACATGGAACATACATGTGGTGTTGCATTGCATGGGAGCTGCTGGAGGTCTTTTCTGGTGGTTTCTCCATTCGCATCTGCTCTCCCCCATCTGTGGTTTTATTTTTTTTAGTCAGTGGGTTCAACTCTTCAGTGTTTCCCAGATGGTAAAAGATGCTCTGAAATGTTGAGAAATTTCTATACTTCTCTAGCAGCTTCCAAGCTTTTTCCTTGAGATTTCATTTTCTCTCTCCACCATGGTAAGTTTCTTCCTCCATCTCTTTTCTACCATCTTGGTAGGCTTGCTTCTCCTCCAGAACCCCAGAACCACACCAAGCAATGCAACCATCCAAACCTGGGCTCTCCTCCCTCTTTCATTTTCAACACATACATATTGATTTTGAGCATATGAATTCAGGTTTTGAAGTTTCTTTCCAAAGCAAGAAAACTCTTCAGGCCAGCACAAGTGGGAAGTGAGGGGTTCTTGCTTGGTCAGTTCCTCAAAAGCAGAGTCTAAGAACATGACACAGGGACTGAATTGCTCAGGAATGTTTGTATCACTCACATTTTCTAGTAGCACTAGTCACATTACTGGAAATATTAGGTCTTCAACACAGGCTCCTCTCTCCGTGTATGTCTTGGATGCCTTCTGATAATTCTCCCTGGGATTTCCCACAGGCAACAGTGTCATGGTTTTCTTTTTAGTGTAAGTGACAATGTGTTTGTTGTCCCATGCCATGAGAGCATGAGCTGCTAAGAGGTGAGTTGGAAGGCTTCCAGACCCATACACCAACTCCTTTTCATCCATCCTTTGTGTGTTTCAGACCTGGAAAATTGTGAGGAAGGCTGGACCAAGTTCCAAGGCCACTGCTACAGGCACTTTGAAGAGAGGGAGACTTGGATGGATGCAGAGACCAGATGCCGACAACATCAAGCCCACCTGAGCAGTATCATCACCCCAGAGGAGCAAGAGTTTGTGAACAGTGAGTGCTGAGGGCAGCCTGAGACTGGGCAAGGGTCCAACTGTTGGACTCTGATTCTACAGGTGGATTTATCAAACATGACTTAAAAAGCACAATTTGCCCCACTGGTGCTTATATATTTCCTAAGAAGGTCTCAACCTTGCACAGGAGAGGAAGAACCGTCCAGCCATGAGACGGAAGAGGGCCCTTTCTTGTCTAGTTCAGATCTTCGCTCTTATCACATTGTTGATGTGGCTTGGTCACAAGGTGTTCACTTGATGCAGCAAGTGCAGTGACCCGTGTGAACATGGGTCACCCATGCTCATGGCACGCTGAGTGGGGAGGGAGATGGACAAACATGATGCTGGGAGAAAAGGACATCAGGGGCTAGTGACTGGGAAGGAGCCGAATGACTCAGAGGCTCCAGGGTTAGAGACAGCTGAGATGACAAAGAAATGCTTCCAACAAGGGGTAGGGGAATCACGACCCACTCTTCTCTCCCTGTCCGGTTCTTGCAGGCCACGCACAGGACTACCAGTGGATCGGCCTCAGTGACAGAGCTGTGGAGAACGACTTTCGCTGGTCCGACGGGCACGCCCTGGTGAGCCTGCAGCCTGCGGCTCGGGCAGGCACCGGCTTTTGGGGGGGGGGAAGAGGTTCCCCCTGGGTGGGAGGAGCCCCATGAGTTACATGCTGAGTGTTGGGGTTGGGCATTGAGTGGAGACAGCCCTAAACTTTGTAAGGCTCATGGTTTTTCCAAGCCTCTAGTAAAGCTGGTCAGCTAAGTTCCTGGGCATCACTGCGGTAGAAATAACGTTGTAGTAGCAAAGCGAGCAACCCATGGTCTCTGCTGGTGAGATGCACGGGTGAGGCAGCAGCAAGGATGAAGGAGGGAGTAGGAGAGGGGAGGGCTCAGCCTTAGGTGAAGGGCTTTCCTCTCTTGGCAGCAATTTGAGAACTGGCGGCCCAACCAACCTGATAACTTCTTCGCGGCGGGTGAGGACTGCACTGTGATGATCTGGCACGAGCAAGGCGAATGGAATGACGTTCCCTGCAACTATCACCTCCCTTTCACCTGCAAGAAAGGAACAGGTCAGCACCCTACACCATGCCAGCAAGGATGGGGGGCTCAGGCAGCAGCTGAGGGGCTGGAGTGGAGCCCCTCAGTGCACATGAACGTGGGTTTTGTGACTGCAAAGGGTGGTCAAAGAGGTGGAAGGAATTAGCAATAGAAATTGGCCAAGGCTCTAAGAGAGTTTCCTGAGGGCTTGAAAAAAATAAGGTAAGCCACCAAGAACGGGGTTATATGTCCCCAGGCAGAGCCATACCCTGTCTGCTGCATCCCTCCTGCATGCCAGGTCCGTGCCCACCCACGGACGCAAGCAGTTGTGATGCCCAGCTCTTCCCTGCCTCTCCGGGAGGCAGGAATGGAGCCCTGAGCCAGACAGCTGCTTAATTTCAAGGCCCATCACAGAATTTCCGTATCCCTCTGCTCCTAAATTTTGTGAGCAGAGGCAATCTCAAAGGGATTTAAGGTTTTACGTGCCGGAGGAGTGACAAGCCCATGCCGGGCAGGCAGGAGCTGCCCAGGTGTGAGCTGCCCACTCAGCCAGGACTCCTCGAGCTCCCCATGTCTCTGCCCATCTCCTGCAGTGGCCTGTGGGGACCCCCCTGTGGTGGAGAACGCCAGGACCTTCGGTCGAAAGAAGGACCGCTACGAAATAAACTCCATGGTGCGGTACCAGTGCAACCAAGGCTACATCCAACGCCACGTGCCCACGATTCGGTGCCAGCCCAACGGGCAGTGGGAGGAGCCGCGGATATCCTGCTTAAACCGTACGTCTTGGTCTTGGCCCCTTTACCTTCGGGTTAGGGCTGATGCATCCCTGCAGCTGGGAGAAGGAGCTGGGAATGAGGGGGGCATCATCTTAGGGTGCAGGCTCCGAGACTGGCAGAAGGGGGATTCATGATCCCCTTCATTTGTTGAAAGGTCCCCCACGATGGGGCCATGGGAGCTGGCATCTTCTGGGCAGGTGTGGACCGTGGGGCTGGCTGGAGGAACAGCTTGGGCAATTCCTGCCCTGGAAGCTCTTCCACCTAGGCAGGGTAGAGGCAGGTCCAGAGCCAGGAGAAGGAAACAAGGAGTTTACCAAGGGCCCAGGCTACTTAAAGAAAGGAAAGTAAGAGAAATGGCTTCTGAAAGGGTGAGTTTTGGCACCACCTGCGTCAGCAGAGGGAGTAGGAGGGGGGAGTTGTTGTCCCCCAGAGCCCTTCCCTAGCACCTTCCTGCCCTGGGAGCAGACAGGAGACCTGCAGTAGAGCTAAGCCAGGGGACAGGGCTGGACTCCTGACCCTTTTCCTGTCAGGCCTCCAGCTGACAGCAGCCAGCCCTCTCCCACCAGTGTCCCAGCCCAATCCCAAGCCTGCCTACTCCCCTGTCCCACTGCTGCTCGCCTGCAGCTTCCCAATAATTTCGTTGACCTCAGCCAAACCACATCTGTCCAGTGTCCTCCTTGCCAGGTTCTGGTCCAGCTGGGCAATCCCAGCTAAAGCAACGGTCCCACGACCAGGGGAAGTCACTATGGGCTTAAGGGACAAAACTCCACCCCAGGGAGGAGGAGGGATGGAGGAGGTGTCCGAGGGCAGCAGCGTGGTACAGACCAAGCTGCTGATTCCCTCAGCTCTGCCGCAGATCCGGAGAGCTGCAGGCTGCTCCTGGCATGGCCCGCCAGCGATCAAGAGACCTAGGCTATTATCAAAACACTGGAGCAGTGACAGCTTTGAGGGAGACTGGCAGCAAAGATCAGGCAGAAAATTTGAACCTGCCAGCCAGACGGGGCTGTTTCCCCCGCTGTGCCCTAAGCACATCCCACTGCTGATGGATATTTCCCTCCCTGTCCCGGGGGATCGGGAAGGGATTGGTAGGGCAGCGGGTGAGATGGGGAAGCAGCCATGCCCACCCCGGTAGCAGAGCTGCCCCTCTGGCCGAGCACAGGGAAGGGATGGGACAAGCATCTGAAGAGAGGATGCTCCTGCCCAGGCCCCCGGTAGGCAGCGGGCACCCTCACCCCTGGGTGAAGCAAACCCCGGCCGTGGGGGCAACAGAAGGGCCAATTGTGTGTGGACAGGCAGGCTGGCGCCGGGGCACACACAGCCGCCCGCCGGGCAGTACTGCCTGCGGCTGCCCGTGTTTTTCCAGGGAGCCAGGGCATCCAGGGTGGGACAAGCAGCGTCTCTGTCCCAGCTCCTGCTAACAAGGTGCCTTTTCTTCTCCTCCCTCTTCTGCAGCCTCCAACTACCAGCGCAGGCTATACAAGAGGAGCCCCAGGAGCCGGTCAAGACCCAGCGGCAGAGCCGTGCAGAGACCCACCCATTAGAGCGGGGCAAGAGAGACCGAGGGGGAAAGTGAGAAAGAGAGATTTTTAACAGAACAGTTATATTAACAGAGTCGATTTCTTCTTCTTCTTGTTGCTTTTTTGTCATATAAGGAAAAAAAAAAATTATATTAAAGACAAACCCACCTTTGTGTATATATATAAAAAAAAAAAAAAAATTAATGTTTTTCCAAGCACCAAAGCAAAGCGAATTAGATCTCAGCATTCTTACTAACCGTCCGGTTCCAATTATCTTCGTGCCTTCGGGGACAGGGAGGGGGGTGGGTTTGCAGAGGGCAGGGGGTTAAGTTAAATAATAAAGATGATTATTTTTTCCTGATTTTATGCACGAACAATGTAATTATTTCTGTTATTTAATCTCCGGGGTGAACAGCACCTTTTGGGGTTTTATTTTATTTTTTTTTCTCCAGAATCCTCCTACTGCTGCAGCGCATCAGGGCGGGTGGGGAGGGCCGGGGGGCTGCAGTGGAAGGAGCTGTGGGAGGAGGGAGGCGAGGGGATGCTGAGACCCGGGACCCGGGCACTGGGGGCTGTGGCCCCTCTCTGCTTCCCCACCGCCCCCCCTGCGGCACAGCACCCGTCCTGGGATGATGTGCTCTTTCCAGGGGACCGTGCGGGGCACCAGCGTTCCCTGCACCTATTTATATTTTTGAACATATCCTATTTTGAAAGAATGATAAATAATAAAGAGAGTGAAATCGGAACGGGCACTTTGTCAGTGTTGGTTTTTTGGGGGAAGGGGGGTGTCTGTGTGGGCCTGGGGGTATCTCCCATGGCAAGGCAGCAGGGAAGGAAGGGGAGCCCAGACAGGGTGCTCCAGGCTACATGGGACCAGCTCAGCCCCAGCCAGCACCCAAGAGTGCAGCCTTGGGTGTTTCCCAAGCCTCAACCAAAGGACCATGGGGTAGGACGTCACCCCCCTGTACAGCTCTTGCCCCGGGAAGGGGTTAACCCACATGCCTAAAACCCACTGCCAGCAGAAACTGCTTCACCTCCAGCTTTCTGTCCTGACACCCAGGGGGTTAATTAACACTCATTAATGAGGGAGCAAGGGGGCCCTTGCAGGAGCTCGGGTGTCCAGCCAGGGATCCCCAAGTTCCCTCTCGTTGGCAGACCCCTCTCGTGCTGGCACAGCGATGGGGACACAGCCACATTGCTCCAGGGCTTTCTCCACTGATTTATTAGAAGAGGTCCAGGAAAATACAACTTTTCATAACCTAACGCTCAAAGAAGAAGGCACCAGAGTTCAAGTGGCGTCCGGGCGAGGTGTGCGTGGAGATAAGGCACTGGCACCCCTGTGAGGACAGGCACAATGTCATCCTTCAGTGGGATGGGGACAGGGCTGGAAGAGGAGCTGGGATGCAACAGAGGCACCCGCTCTCTGCCTCCGGTCGAATCCAGCCTTGCCTCGCTCCCACCTGGCGAGCTCAGGGGCAGGACCAGCCTGGAAGGGCAGGCGGGTGTCGGTGACATGCTGCCACCGCGGGAAGGGGCCACCACCCACGGGGTGGCAGGGGCCAAGCAGGGTGGCAGCAGCCCACGGGAATCGTCCTCGCGTGCACCCCATGCCAGGGATGGTCCCGCACTGCCCCGCGCAGCTGCGTGTGCTGGCTGCTGAGCAAGATGTGGAAAATATAAAGGAAGGAAATAAAATAAAACAAAAAGAAGCCTCCCCCCCAACCCCGCCTCCCCCCCCAGTCACCCCCAAAACAGCCCTGGGAAATACCCGATGCCAGGCACTGTCAGGCTGGAAACATCCTCTGGCCAAGAAGGAGCCCACCTGGCTCCTTATCTCTCCTTGTAGCAGAAGACCCCAAACCTGCCCTTGCTGGGGAAGCCGAAGCTGCGGACACCAGGCTCTGCAGGGCCACAGTTGGCCCGGGGCTTGGCGATGGGGTAGCGGACGCTGCCATCCGCCAGCCAGCCGGCATCGCAGCGGTCCAGCCCCAGGAACTTCCAGGCAGAGTAGAGCTGCCCCACCCGGGCGATCTCGGCCCCCACGTCCTGGCAGCTCTGCTTGGCCTCCTCCAGTGTCATCCCAGATGGATGGTCCAGGTAGAAAACCTCTCCTAGGAGGGAGAGGGGAGCAAGACAGAGGAGCATCAGTGCTGAGCATCATCTGGAACATCCCCATCTGGAGCATCCCCGCCTGAAGCATCCCCACCCAGGCTGGATCTTGTGCCCTAAGGGGGAGGGATGCCACCAACGGGGCACAGCACCTTCCCCAGGATCCCACCCTCCCGCTGCTGGCCCAGCACTCACCTCTGAGCGCGGAGGAGAAGCAGAAGGCATCAAAGCGGTTCAGGTGCCGGTGGCGTGGGCCGTAGCTGCGGATGCCCGGGGCGAGGTGCAACCCGCCGCAGGGCTTGCGGGGCAGGCGGATGGGGTAATGCACGGTGCCATCAGCCAGCCAGCCCGCGTTGCACCAGTCCAGTCCCTCGGTCCAGGCCTGGAAGAGCTGGTAGAAGGTGGCGAGGATGGCGCCCTGCTCCTGGCACGCTCGCTCGGCTTCATGGAAGTTGAGCCTGTACTGCCCGCGGGGAGGCTGGTAGGGGAACACGACGCCTGGGGGCAGACGGGGCACTCAGCCAGCTCCACGGGCAGCCCATCCGCCCCAAATCCAGCCCCAGCAGGAGCCACAGGGGTCCCTGACCCATCCCAAATTCAGGTTCTGGGACAGGGACCACCCCAGGCTCGGGCGTGCGGGGACAGGGCTGCTCCGGGCATGCCGGCGCCAGCAGCGAGTTGCCAGCGACATCTGGTGGCACAGGGACAGAGGGACTCGGTCCCGGGGACACACGGACCACCCTTGTGGGGACAGCACCTGCACGTACAGGGACGCACAGACTATGATAACAGGGATGCAGGGACCTACAGGGTCGTAAGGACCACGGTCCTGGGGACACACGGACAGTGGTCCCAGGGAGGCATGGACCACCCCTGTGGGGATGGAGACACCACTGTCGTGGGGATGCACAGGCTCCAGGAACAGGGACACAAGGACCAGTATCATGAGGACATGCGGGCCATGATCCCAGGGACATGTATACCACCAACATGGGGATGGATGGACCGCTGTCACAGGGATGGAGGGACCACAGTCACAAGGACCGGGGGGGACAAGCCACCATGGGAGGCAGGGCCTGAAGGCCAAGGGGGTGGCAAGGGGGACACTTCCACAGCTCTGAGCTTGGCGGTGGAGACAGGGCTGAGTCAGGTCCCTCATGACAAGTGAGCAAGAGGGGTTGGACCAGTCACCAAGGTTCATCACAAGATGCCTGGCGATACCCAGAGCTGGGAGGCATGGGGACAGCTGCACATGGTGCAGCACAGCAAGAAAATGGGTAGGTAAAGGCAGGAAATACTGCAGCCATGGAGTCACCCCCAATTCTGTCTCCGCAGTAGCATCTCTAGCATCCCAGCAGGGCAGACTGCTCTGGGCTCACTTGCTGCTGAGATCCCCGGTCAGACACCACCCCACCACACTGAGCATCCCAGCTCCTCTCCACCCACAACTGGGCTCCCTGACCCCCCTGCCTTGCCACCTCCCCTGAGGAAGGGGTGCCACGGGAAGGCCAGGCTCACTGGCATGGCGCAGGGTGTCACGCGATCCCCACCGTGCCCCCACCTTGCAGCCGGAGGTCCACCACGTTGCTCTCGTCCTCCAGCCCATCGATGACCTCGCAGCGGTATTTACCATCATCCTGCAAGCGCACATCGCTGACGACCAGCGAGGCCTCGCGCCGGCTGGCCTGGTGGAGGTGAGCGCGGCCGCGGAAGTCCCCAAAGGCCATGTAGGTCTTGCCAATGGCTACCAGCACATCCTGCTCCTTGGTGTAGTCATCCCGCAGCTTGGACCACTTGATGCGGATCTTGAGCTTGCCTTCCATGTCAGGCTCATAGTGGTAGTGGCAGGGCAGGGTGACGTTGGCACCACTGGAGCTGTAGACAGGGTCTTTGGGAGTCTCCACAACCAGTTTGGCTCCGTTAAAGTAAACCACTGGGGACAGGGAGGGAAGGTGTGATGGGCTGGTTGGAATCCAGGGCTGGGCAGCATCCCCAAATCCCCCTGCAGCCACTCCGCCCCCTCCCTCCTGCCACCTCCTCTTCTGCCTGAGCATCCCCGGAGCATCCCTGGAGCATCCCCGCCTGCTCCTCTAGGCCCCACATCCACCCCAAGAGATGAGTGCCAGGCCCATCCAGAGGCAGGGGGGGCACTTCAGTCCCTTGCACCAACCTGCCAGTCCCCCTTTCTGCCAGCCCTGCCAGTCCCCAATATACCTTTTTCCTGCCCACTGCCCTTGTCGTTCATGATGTGGTTGTAGTAGAAGCCATTGTAGAAGGGGTGGTGGGAGCCGCTGGCCAGACGCAGCAGGGTGGCCTCCAGGAGCAGCGGGAACAGCAGCATGGCTGGGGAGCAAGGCCGAACCCTGAGCCCGGGCTGCAGAGGGGGAAAGGGCTGCAGTAACACCCCAAAATAACCAGGAGCACCCCAGTGCTGCCTGGCACGTGGTGCCAGGCAGAACTCATTGCAGGGATGCAAGGAGAGGGGTGGGAAGAGCCAGCAGAGCGGTTCTCCTGCCCACAGGGGAGGGTGCAGGCAACCCGAGCTATGTCCCCAGACCTGCCGCACAATAGGGGCTCCCAATCCCCTCCATCCTCATCCTCCTGCCTGGGTCATGCTGAGCACCACCGCATTCACTGCCGGGCTTGTAGACTGCCCTGCCTGGAGTGGGGAGCTGAGACCAAGCTGGGGACAGGGCAGCCAGGGGAAATGGGATCCCAGGTGTCCTTTGAACACAGAGCACTGGCAAAACATCACGTAGGGGGTGCAGGGACAGAGAAGTGGACAAGCCCCGCTGTAAGCCGCAAGCTCGGTTTACAGAGGCAGCCGAGCGTGCAACCCAGCCAAGGAGGGGAGGAGAGAGCTCGGGGCTGCCTCCACTGCCCCGGCACCGAACAAAGCCTGGCAGCACCCAGCCAGCCTGGCCGAGGACCCGCGGCTCCAACCCAGGGCTGCCGCTTCGCACCGCAGAGTCGGCTGGTGCTGACCCCACGCAACACTTTTTGCTCCCAAACCACATCCCCTGGGTGGGGAGGAAACCCAGCTGTCCCACAGCACCGGAGCACCATGCTGCCCTGAGCTCTGGGTACCCCAGGCACCCAAGGATGCCCTGCACGGGGCTCACCCAGGGTGCCTCGCAGCACTATTTGCTGGCTTGCGAGCTTTCCCGGAGCCGGCAGAGGGGGCCCAGCACCCGGCAAGCCTTCAGCAGCCCCCCTCCAAGACTGGGAGGAATCTGACATCTGTGCCCCCCGTGGCAGACAAGGTTTATGAGTGCCTGCAAAGGTGCCCCAGGCCAGGGTGCTGTGGGAGACCGGGTGCTCACCCCTGGAAGGGTCCAGTGCAGGGTACCGTGATGGTCTCTGGAGACCAGGGCATGCAACTGGCTGCCTCACCGCGGGTTGCTCGCTCCCGGACTCTCCTCCACGGTTGACGCCATGGCTCACCTTCCCCGTGGGGTGCAGTCTACCCTTGCCACCCACGGTGGTGTGCGGAGCCGGAGGACGCAGGGTGCACCCGCTCGACGGCCAGCACAGCCCCGGAGCCCGGCGGCAGCGGTGCGTGGCTCTGCAGGCTCCGGAGCCCGGCGGCACGCCGCCACGTGCTGCCCACGCGTGGCAGGGCGAGCTCGAGGCACTGGCAGCTTCACACCTCAGTTTGGGGAGCATCAGCCTTGCCCCCCCCCGCCATGCCCCCCAATACCTAGCTACCCGCCCGGAGCCCAGTGTTGTGGGGATGTGGCGGGGGGCCCGGCGTCCTCAACTGAAATGCCAGTGAGAATCACGCTGCAGCACCCACCTTAGCGATGCCCGGCACCTTCCGCGGTGATGCCCAGCACCCTCCACGGCGATGCCATCCCTCCCGCCCTCCACAGCAAGCAGGGTGCCCACCACCCCGGGGTGCCAGCCCTCCCCAGCCCCCGGGGCCGAGCCCTACTCACGCTGGTTGCGGGCAGGCGTGCAGGCAGGCTGCAGGCAGATGCACTGTGTTTAGGGCTCTTGCAAGGCTGAGAGGAAGCAGCTCCAGGGCCTGCCTCTTAAAGGGAAACACACGCCTTTCCCAACCCCCTGCTCGCAGCCCGGAGCTGGGGTGGGTGCCCCCAGCCCCCCTCCTGCCCACCGTGCCTGGGGAATGGCCTCACCATGTGCCCGCACGCTGCCCACATGTGTCCTCGGTGATGTGCCAGCTGCCAGCATTGCCCCCTGGCTTGCAGGGGAGAGCAGCGGGGAGTGGGGTGCCCCGTTGGGGCTGGTGGGACCCCGCGATGCCCTGTGCAAAGCCCCAGTGAAACCTCAGCACCGGGGGAGAAAAGCCATCCCTTGTCCCACGTCCCACTGGAGGGACTGGCCATGGTCCCCAGGCCATGGTGGTGTCCAGCACGCATGTGGCAGGAGCACCGTGGGCACAAGCGGCTCAGGCTGGGTGGGCTGTGGCGGGGGGTGGTCCATGCCTGGGATGTGCAGGCAGTGCCTGACTGCTCTGGGGGTCCAGGGGAGGCAGCTGAGCCACGGGGTTCAGCCTCTTTGGGATCCGCTTTGTGCTGTGGGGGCAAAGCAGAGGAGCAGAAACCAGGGCAAAAGCTTTGGGATACCGTGTTGCACCCGTCTGATGGGGCATCATCCCTAGACTTGGGTGATGCCCTCCACGCCAGCTCCCGCCGGCACACGGACACGCAGCCCTGGCTCCGAGAGCCCCAGCTCTGGTCCTCGGGAAGGGCAGCACGGCAGCAGCACGGCCGGGGAATGCCGGTGCAGGGGTGGCCGACGGGGCTGAGCACACGGAGGAACCGTGGAGCGGCATGTGCCCTGACCCAGTGACCCACCACCCCAGCCCGGCGCGCCGCTTCGCCCCCCGCTTTGTTGTTTTATGGCGAGGAAATGAGGCGCAGGGGCCCTGGTCCAGCTCTCACTGCCGTGTGGGACAGCATCAAGCCGGAAAGAAAACAACTCATGCAAAAATAAACCGCACCAGGGCTGGCTGTGGGGTGAAGGGGGCCGGGATCCCTTCCTGACAGCCCCCCCGGCACGGCGTGCTCGGGGTACAATCTTGTCTGCCCGCCACCACCACGCTGATAGGGAGCAGCCGACATGGAAACTGCGTTATCTGCCGCCAGCGTCGGCCCGGCAGCCCCCGTGGGAAGCACTGACTAGGAATGGCTGCAGGACCCAGGGTCTGGAGTCACTGCTCTTCCTTGCTTTCCTTTTCCCCGTACCCCCACTCATCAGGGCCCACCAGCCGTCCCCCCCAAGGAGGGACACAGTGGGGCCAGGCTGCCCAGGGACACGGGAGCGTGACAGCCGGGCACGCTGCCTGCTTGCCTGCCCGGAGCAGGCTGCTCCACAGCCCACAATGGAGGAGAGATTACATCTCCTGGCATGACGGGGCCGCTGCTTCCTGGCCAAGGGTCTCCATGGCTGGAGGAGGTGAGGGGATGGCATCCCAGCTGCATCCTTGTTGCATCCCAGCCTCTTCCCGGCCACCGGTGCCCCCCTGCAGTTGCTTGCCCAAGTTGTCTGTGTCCCAGTGGACCTGCAATAGGGATGGTTCCTTCCACCCCCCTGGCTGTGCAGACAGACGGACAGCCCCGTCGGGGCACTCTGCTCCTTGGCATGGCCACCCCATTGTTTCAGAGCTGAGGAACAAGCCACATGGTGCCCTGTGCTGCCTGCGCTGCCTGCACCACTGTGCCTGCCAGGAGCCATCCCCTGACTGGCCCAAAGAGGGGAGCAGCAGCAGGGAAGGGGAGAGAGATGCTTTTCTGCATCTCCTTTCAGCGACAGCTCATGGCTCACATTCATCCACGGCTCTTGTGTGGACGTGGCCACCAATACCCTCCCCATCCTACTGGGGAGCAGGCAGCATGGGGGAGGATCTAGCCACCAGCATCCCCCTGAGGAAGGAGGAATCCCCTTCTCTCCCTCCCAACTCTCACCCTATTTTTGGAGCTTCAGGGATGATCCCAGATTTGTTTTCTGCTCCTGAGATGGACCCTGGGTGGGACCGTGGGTTTCAGGGTAAGCAAGGCTGTGCAGGGTCAGGGTAGCTCTGACCCGGGAGCACGTGTTTGGGGCACGTGTTTAGGGTTGGCTGAGCTTCTCGTTGAATGAGAGCCATAAAAATGTCATCTCTGTCTTCCCCGCCTCAAACCCAGCGACTGACTTCATCGTGGTCTCACCGGAGAGATTTCTCCCTGAAATGCCGCTTGCACAGGACAATTCTAGCGGGAACCTGTTGCCCAAGGCTCAAACTGTAGAGAAAAAACCCGTGTTCCTGGTGGGATGGAGGAGGCTGTGATCTGTGCTGTGCTTTCCGGGCGGAGGCGAGAGGATGCTCTCCCCGACGGCTGCTTCCTGAGGAACCGGCTCGCGGGCGGCTGGCAGGACCAGCAGCCGAGTCAGCAGCCAGCGGGGTGCCGTGGCCACAGCCTGCCAGCCCTCCTGGCCTTCCTGCTGCTCCAGAAGCCCAGCCGCGTCCGGGAAGAGCCCTGTGAGGGGATCTGCATGGCGTGGAGGGTGCCCTGGGCCTCGCCAACGCCCCCCCCCCCCAATCCCAGGGCTCCGGGGGAGGAAGGAAACGCTGCAGAGCTGGGAAGGGGCTCAGCATCCGTCAGAGGGGCTTGTCCTGGGGATGGCAACAGGCAGGGGGGAGGCAGCAGCCAGACACTGAGGATGCATCCCCTGCTGTGACACATGGCATCTGCTCCCGTCACCCTCCCCATGGAGCCTCTGCTGTGCCCCTGGCTCAGGGCTGTCTTGGCTGGACTCAGAGCAAGCTGCTCTTATCTCTGCCCCAGCTTCCCGGTGATAAGGGTGGCATGTTTAGAGGTGAACGGGGCTGACTGTCCCCGGCTCTAGCTGTGGCTGCTATTTGTCACCAAGCAGCCACAGCCACAATGAATTCATCCCCGCCTCTGCAGGCAGCCCCCCAGCACGTCTGGTGCTCAGGGCTGGCACCCACGGGGTCAGGCAGGAGCCCACCTCCCATGGACAGGGCTCAGGGAAGGGATGTGTGGCCAAGCAGGGCACTGCCAGCAGCAGGAAGGTGGATGGAGGTTGTCCAGAGCTGCAGGGACAGAGCTGTGGTGGGATGCAGGTGGCCCTGGGTCATTCGCGCCAACCTCAGAGGTCCCTGCTCAGTGTGGCAGAAGACTCTGGAGAGAAGCAAAGCTCCTCTGTCCTCTTCACCCCAGGGCTCCCTCACTACCAGGGACCCCATCCTCAATATAGGGGGGATCCTGCTCCAACAGCATCCCCACCGTGCCCAGGGGGGCTCTGCACGGACCATCCCCACAGGCAGCACTGGCAAAACCCACAGCTCCCTCCAGCCCTGGGAGAGTGCTGGGGTGTAAGAGCTGGGTTTGCCCCAAGCTAGGGGATTTGCTTCAGGATCAAGCCAAAGGAGGAGACTCAGGGCGTGGGGTGCTGATAGTGGCTTCCCCTCCCCAAGTCCCATCCCGCTGCGCTGGCCAGCTGTGAGCATGGGCTCCAGCAGCTGCAACGGGGTGGAGGCAGCGGGGAAAATGCACAAAGTCCTGGTACCCTGTTTTTCAGGCAGGGACGGGAGCTAGGAGGGCCTGTGGAAGCAAGAGAGGTCCAGAGTCAGCATAGCAGCCGGCAGCCCTCATGGGATGGAGGAGCCAGGGGACTCAGAGGGGATCGTGGTGGATCACCAGACCTGTCGGACTTTGGGAGGTAGCTCTCAGGGAGGCACAGAGCAGCCAACAGCCCCAAAATTTCAGCTGTTTTTAATACTGTTAGAGACACCCTGGAGCGGGGCTGCCACCGCCATCCCACCCGGGCTCCCTCAGCACTTGCCAAAGCGACCCCACTGCCAGCCCGGCCCCACAGCCGTTTGGCATCCCAGCAGGCGGGGGAAGCATCGCCGCTGCCCGGACACCCTGCCCACGCTCCCGCTTCCTGGTGCTGGGTCTCGCTCATCTCCTACTGCTAATCCTGAGGGCTCGAGCATTGCAAGAGGCTCCCCTCCACCCCACAGAAAGGGAAAAAAAATCAGATTACAAAAAAAGGGTCACAGCACAACTCTCTGCTACTGCATTTGGGTGATTTAACCACCCTCTTTCCCATCTTTTCTCTGCACACTTGTGGCTACAAACCATCTCTTCCCCCACTACCAGGCTACAGCCCCTCTAGTCACTGACTGGCTCTGGGGACAAGGGACCTCCAGGCACCCCAAACTGCAGTAAGGTGGGGATGGCAGCAGTGCTGAGACTTGGAGGACCCTGGAGCCGACACCCCGGGAAGGCAAATGGGCAGCTCCTGCCAAAACGCCAGCCACGGCGCCTGCCGGGAGTGCCCAGCGGGTAGAGCCACCGGCAGTGGGGACCCGGTGCCTCTTGATAGGAGCTGTCTCATCACTCCCCTTGCACTATGCAGTGCTGACACCACAGGCAAAGAGACTCAGGGCCTGGCAAAATGGGCAGGGGACAACAGGCAAGTAGATTTTTCAGAGCCCCTGCTTGCAGCTGTGCAGGGAGCAGGAGGGATGTCAAAGGCTGCGAGCCCAGGGTGCCCGTCCTAAGCCCCCCAAAACTACTGAGGCCTGAACCACAGTGCAGGCAGGGGACTGCCACTGGCTGCAGCCTCTCTGCTGGAAGCAGAAGCAAAAAGGGGGGAGAAAATTTGTCTCCAGCCTTAGCTGGGAGGATGCAGCTAAGCCCTGGTTGCAGGACTGGGTCCCCCAGCAAAGCTCTATTTGCAGGATGGGGTCCCCCAAGGAAGCCCCACTTGCAGGAATGGGTCCCCCAGCCAAGCTCCGGTGGCAGGAGGGGGTCTCACCCCTGTCTAGCAGGACAAAAGGGCAGGAGCCATGTCCCACCTACAAGGGCCCCATAAAGTGCAGTGCCACAGCCCCAGCACCAAT